GGGGAACTAGGAGAAACTTTTGTTCTGATATTTGGTCTTTGACACCAGTTCCTGACCCAGAGCTCCTAAGACCTTTGTAATTTCCTGAGTGATAGGAGCATCTGACACAGAGCTCCTAAATTTCTTTAAATTTCCTGAGTGATAGGAGTGTCTTCTGTTCTCTTTGAAATTTTAGTACAACCCACCCCCCCCCGACCCTGGGGATGGGGAGAGAGGCTGAAGGTTAAGTTGATCACCAATGGTCAATGATATAATCAATCACGCCTACATAAACCTCCATAGAATTTATAGAAGCCTCCATAAAAACCCAAAAGGATAGCATTTGGAGAGTTGCCAAATTGCTGAGTGCAATTCGGTGCCTGAAGAGTGGTGCATCCCTACCCACATGCCATGTCCTATGTGTCTATTCCATCTGGCTGTTCATCTGTATCCTTTGTGATATCTTTTATAATAAATGGGTAAAATAAGTAAGGTATTTCCCTGAGTTTTGTAAACCACTCTAGCAAATTAATCAAACCCAAGGAGGGTGTCTTGGGAATCCCCAATTTAAGCTGGTGGGTCAGAAGTATAGATGACAACCTTCTACTTGTGATTGGCATCTGAAGTGGGGGCAGTCTTGTTGAAGCGAGCCTTCAACCTGTGGGATCTGACGCTACCTCCAGGTGGGTAGTGTAAGAATTGAACTGAATGATAGGACACCCAGTTGATAACTGCTGAAAACTTGCTTGGTGTGTGGGAAAAACTGCCACTATCTGGTGTCAGAAGCGTGTTCAGTGGTGTGTGTCAGTAGAGAGGAAAAGTTTGTTTTACTTCAGATAGGCCTAGATTTTGCTAGGTAATTCTAGCAAACATTTATGGACAAATATTACCAATTTTATACAAAGTTTATAGAAAGATGAAGGAATATTTTCTCATTTATTCTATCAAGCCAGCATTACAACAATACCAAAACTAAAGACATCACAAGAAAACTACAGACCAATTATCTTTCATGACCAGAGACATAAAAATCCTTAATATTAGGAAACTAAATCCAGCAATGTATAAAAACAATAATACATTGTTACATTGTTAATACAAAGACCAAATGAAGTTTGGAAGCTGGGACCAACTAGCTGGCTTCAGGGAGGCTTCAGCAGGAAACAAGGACTTTCAGAGGCGGTCAGAGTTTTAGCACCGTCCCTGTCTGTCCATTTTGCTCTCTGGAGCCCCTGACTTCCTTGATATCAGACTTGCTGAAAGAATATCTGCCTACACAGAGAAGTTTCAGGATAAATTAGTGATAGGGGCCTGGCATGGTGGTTCACGTCTGTAATCCTAGCACTCTGGGAGGCTGAGGCAGGAAGATCATTTGAGGTCAGGAGTTCAAGACCAGCCTGAGCAAGAGCAAGACCCCATTTCTACAAAAAAATAGGAAAAATTAGCTGGCATGGTGGCGCATGCCTGTAGTCCCAGCTCCTTGCGAGGCTGAGGCAGGAGGATTGCTTGAGCCCAGGAGTTTGGGGTTGCAGTGAGCTATGATGATGCCACTGCACTCTAGCCAGGGTGACAGAACAAGACTCGGTCTCAAGAAAACAAAAAAATTAGTGAGAAGTGTAGAGCATATTGACCAAATAAATATAATTGTTAACACTAGGAGGAAAAAAATAATTGTACATGAAATAAAAAGTAATCTGTGTACACAGTAAAAAAAAAAAAGAATATCTGCCTAACCCAGGAGTTCCTTTTACCACGTGCTGGTAAGTTCCTTTTATCACATCCTACAAGTGAATGGTTGGTGTAACATTCAAAAATCAATTAATGGCAAAAACAAAAATGAATAAATGTAGTTTGCCATATTAACAGCCTAAATAGAAAAGCCATATGATAACTTTGAAAGATATAGAAAAAGCATTTGACAAAATTCAACATCTAGGCATAACAAAAACTCTCAATGAACTAGGAATAGAAGAGAACTTCCTCTATCTGGGAAAAAAGGTATCTGGTATCTATGAAAAACCTACAGCTACCACCAAAATGGTGAAAGACTAAATGCTTTCCTCCTAAGACTGGGAACACGGCAAGTTTGTTCACTCTCATTTCATCTGTCCAAAACTGTATTGAAGAGTGTAGCCAGTGCAGGAAGGCAATAAAAAGGAGTTAAAGGCATCCAGGTTAAAAAGGAAGAAATAAAACTGTCTTTAGTAACAGAAGATATGAATGTCCATATATGTATGATATTGACATAAGGATAGTCCTAGATCAACAGAATAGAACAGGGAGTCTAGAAACAGACCCACACATATATGTTCAACTGATTCTCAACAGACAAGCTAAGGTAATGTAATGGGGAGAGGACAGTCTTCAACAAATGGTTCTGGAACAACAGAACACCCATGTGCAAAAATTGAACCTCAACTCTCACCTTTTCCTATATACAAAAATTAGCTCAAAATGGGTCACAGACCTAAGTGTGAGAGCTAAACCTATAAAAATTCCAGGGGAAAACAAGAAAAAACTTTTTGACCTTGGATTGGGAAAAGATTTCTTAGATATAACACCAAAAGCACAATCCTTAAAAGAAAAAGATAAATTGGACTTTATCGAGATTAAACACTTCTGCTCTATGAAAGACATTGTTAAGAGAATGATGAGAAAGACAAGAAAATATTTGTAAATCACTTATCTGACAAAAAGAGCTATCAGAAAATTTGAAAACTCTTTTAATTCAGTAAGAAGACAGTCAATTAAAAAATGTCAACAGATTAGAACAGACAATTCTGTAAAGATAAAAGAATGGCAAATAAGCACATGAAAAGATACTTAAGATTGTCAGTCATTAGTAAAACACAAATTAAAACCACAGTGAGACATCACTATAAACCTATTAGAATGGCTAAAATCAAAAGACTGAAGGCAAGGATGTAGAGCAACTAGAGCTCTCATACACTGCTGGTGGGAAGGCAAAATAATACAATCACTTTGGAAAACAAGTTTGTCAGTTTCTTATAAAGTTAAACATGCATTTACCCTAGGACTCAGCCATTCCACCCCTAGGTATTTACTCAAGAAAACTAAACATACAAGTTCACACATAAAGCTGTATTCATAGTGGCTCTATTTATAATTGTCCCAAACTGGAATTAACCCATATAACTTTCAGTCTTTGAGTGTATCATCAGACTGTGTTACATCCATTCAATGGAATACTACTCAGCAATCAAAAGGAACAAACAATTGACACATATAACACATGTATGAATCGCAAATGCATTGTACTAAATTGAAAGAAGCAGACTTGAAATGCTACCTATCATATGATTCCACTTACGTGACATTCTGGAAACACGACAGGCATAGAAAATAGTCAAGTGGTTGCCAGGGGCTGGGTTTTGGGGGAGGGGTTAACTATAAAGGTGCATAAAGGAACTTTTAGGGGATGAAAGACATGTACTGTTGATTGTTGTGGTGATTAAACAAAGCATGCATTTCTCAAAACTCATAAAACTACTCAAAAGGTAAACTTTAATATAGGTAAATCAAACTTCATTAACCCTCACTTTAAAAAATGATACAGCCATAGTATATTATGCAATCATTTAAAAAATGAGATGGATCCATATACACCGATAATAGGATACTGTCTAACACAAACTGTTAGGAGTAAAAAGCAAGGTATAAAACAGTAAATACAGTATATTCCCATTTATGGTAATACTGGCTGTGTCTGGGGAAGGGGTGTGGGGTGGCAGTACATACACTTTTATACTACTGGAGTTTTTTTTTTTTTTAAACCACATGCTTATATTACTTCCAACTAGAAAAAGTAAAAGAAGCTTATATACAGGTCAAAGAAAACTCACAGGTGTCTGGGCCAGGGGACTGAGTCGTGTAGGCTTGAGAAAACATGCGTTAAGAACACAGAACACACAGCCAGACACAGACAGAGGCACTCAATAAATAGTTGGAGGAAGCAAAATATTTGGACTCAATTCAGAAGGACAAAGAGATCACTATCTGAGCACCAGATACCGAGCCAGAATAGCCCCTGCTAAACTGGGATTGCTCACGTTAGAAGAGAAAAGGAGCATAAAACCAAATATCCTGGATTTACTTCGGGGCCAGCTGTTTCTCAGCACTCCTTTGCAAGCACATCGTGTGCCCAAACCTCAGCCTTCTAAGGGATGGGAGGCAAGTCCTTCCCCAAGACAGCAGAGCCCAAGCCCAGAGGCCACCCCTCAGCCTTCTCTGGTGGTCCCAGTGCTATGCCCTGAAGCCCGGAGGCTCTTGCGCAGCCTTTCCTCCAGCCCCTCTGAGGCAGAAGCTCCTCTCACTTCCCAAAGGAATACCATGACCCTGACAGGCTCACCGCACTCCAAGACAAAACAAGATAATCTCAGCACTTCAGCCCCTTTCCCCCACCAAGGTTTCAGGAAAGAAAACCCAAATGGAGAATGGAGATAAGTGAGAAAGGCCCCTTAGCAGCACGTGGTAAAAGGAACTCCTGGGTAAGGCAGATATTCTTTCAGCAAGTCTGATATCAAGGAAGTCAGGGGCTCCAGAGAGCAAAATGGACAGACAGGGACGGTGCTAAAACTCTGACCACCTCTAAACTCCTTGTTCCCTGCTAAAGCCTCCCTGAAGCCAGCTAGTTGGTCCCAGCTTCCAAAAAAGCTTGTTTGGTCATTGATACCAGGACTAGGAGCTTCTGTGCTTGCAGCCTTGTCTGGCCACCTCTGGATACCTGGCTTCCTCATGTAGGTTATCCCTCTGCAGAAACAGGTTGTGTCTGCAGGCGCAAGCTCCAAGACGTAGGATGGGCCTGAGGCGTGGCAAGGGCATCAGGAGGGACTGGGGCAGGAGGCAACTAGAAGCAAAGTCCTTTCCAGGCACCTGTAGATCCCAGGACCCCGGAGGAACGTTACAGCAGAATCTTGACTCCCCACAGGGGCAGCTTCCTGACTAAGGGGCCACGCACGTACCAGGCCGTCCAGGCAGCGGAAGGAGGCAGGAGCACTTACCGGGGGAAGATGGCCGTCATCAAGGCTGAGGCGTAGCCGGGCTTGCAGGCTCCCTCTGAAAAGTTTGCGTACTTGGTGGCTAACTCAGCAGGCCTAGGGGAAGAGAGGGAAAGTCACAGTTTGCCAGGCACTGAGCAGTCTGTGGGTTATAATTCACGAAGAGCTGTAGGTGTTTAAACCTTGAACAAAACTTTGTTCTCTACAATCAGCACTTCAGGCCTTTTTCCACACCAGGCTTCAGGGGTTCAAAAAAACCCCCACCGAAACCCTAAAATAGGCAGAGAAGTAAGTCAGGCCCCTCGATTTCACACAGATTCTTGGCAGTAACCCTGACACCAGAGAAGTCAGGAGCTCCATCCGGGCTCCAAGACTCGGGAGTGGTATTCGGCAGAGCTGCTCAGGCCAGATGGGGTCAGAGGCGCTGCCTTCCCCCCTTCCCTGGACGCTCACACACGTCCAGCGTCATCTGCTCTTACTCCCACCACATGAACCACGATCCACCCAGTGGGAGCCACTCGCAGGTACTGAATATGGACACAATATAAGTGTGTTACTGGGCTATTTTAGGTGAGGGTGTTCCCCGCTCTCTCTGCCTGGGATGTTCCTCCTGTCCCTCTCCACCTGGCCAATGCCTCCTGGTCCTTCACAACTAAGCTCAGATGTCAGCTTCACTGGGGGTGATTTCCTGACCCCCCAGACTGAGCTAGGTGCCTCTCTGTGCTTGTACACGCCTCTGTGCTGTGCCTCTCCCTGCCACCCATGTCACACGCTTGCCCCCATCAGCACTCGCCATTCTGGATTAGAATTATTGCCAGGGTGTCTCCCTCATTATGCTGCAAATTCCTGAGGTCAGAATCTGACTTAAGCCTGCCCACCTTCCCCTACCCTGTACCCTGCACAGAGATGGGCACACAGAAGACCCCTATAACTTTCTAAAGGGAGGAAATGACCTTGACAGTCTCACTGCAGCCAAGGTAATCTCAGGGACCCACAAGCAGAAACTGCCAGATATTTTCAGAAGACTTGTCTTCTAACCCAGACTTTGTTGCTGTATGACTATAATCAGGCAACCTCACATCTTTGGATTTCAATGTTCTTAAGTGTTCAGTGTGGGGCTGAAGTCACTGCCCTGCCACCAAAAACTCTGCCCCACGCAGTCTAGAGAAAATCACAGCAGGAGAGCAGGACATATTCAGTGAATGGGCTCAGTGACTGCTGGGGCTGGAGGCCCTGCATGCTGGGGCACCTGAGGGAGCCCTGGCTGGCTGCCAGTTCTAAGTCCCAACATCCTCCGCCCCCACCTTGGGCCTGCTGCCAACAAGCTGGTGCCCAGCTGCTCGACTGGGCTGGGGCCCTGTGGCAAGTCTGCCTGCAGGGCCGCCTTCTGCAGGGGCTGGGTGGGGTGGATATGGGGTAGTGTTGCCAGAGCGATGATACCACTGCCTACTGTGTGTCATGTTTGATTTACCCCTGGACTCCTGCGGGCCTAATCCAGGACCTTACACAGAGTAACTGCTCGCTGAATACAGACAAACTCATCTGTATCCATGTGCAATTTCTTTTAGAAATATATGTTTTTAAGCCTTCTCTACCAATGAAATTTAAAGCCTCAAATGCAAATCCAAATGCTGAGTGACAAGCCAAGGAGTTGGGACTTTATTTGGTAGGCAAAAGAAAGCCACAGGTTTCAACAAAAGAAAAATATTTTCTTATGTAAACAACTGTATTTCAGAAATGAAATATAAACTTCAGTGCAATTACCGAACTTACTAGAAGCTTTTGGACCAGGCACAGTGATGAAATCATTCTAGATGTATTCAACAACTCTGTGAGCAGGTGCAATGAATTATTAACTTAACACATGAGGCTCGGAAAGATGAAGAGACTTATCCAGGATCATACAGCTGGCAAGTGGTAGACATCAGATTTGAACTCACTTCTCCCTAACACCAGTGCAGGAGCTCCAACGTGACACTGCCACCAACACGATCACAGAGGAAGGTGCAGAGTCCAATGATAGCACAGGAGTGGTCAACACACTTGGAGACGGGGTAGAGGACAGGATCAAGAAGGCCTCACACATAGCTCTTTGGAAGGATATACACAGTGGTGAAGCATTCTGAGTCCCTTCCTGCCCTGTCCGCAACCCCCACCCCGCCCCCCTGCAACCTGCTTCCCTGCCTTGTACTATGAGTTCCTGTGGTCTTTCTGAATTCTAGAAAATTTCACAAGCAAGTGGACAGATGGACAGTGGTTGCCCTTCTTCACACAGTATGTTACACAAATAAAGGTACAACAACAGACAATCCCCAGGCCATACCCTTGCTCTCTATAGTTCACCCCATCAACTTTTGGTGAGGTGCTTAAAGAAAAAGGGTTATGGAACAGTTGAGGGCCCATGGGCTCAGGCCATCTGTAATGGAGAAGAGGGGATCAGAACCCAGCAGGGATGGCAGGAGATACTACTCTCTCCATGGCAGTGCAAGGCAGTCAGATATCAAGATGATTGGCTCTAAATCAACCCTCATTTTAGAAAATGCAACATAACTTCTAAAACATACAACTCCAGTTACAGTGGGCCACGTCAAGTTATTACCAAATTAAAATGCCTTAGAAATAGCCTCCTGACTATCCCAGTGGGAGAAGAATAGGGGGAGTGTTGGGGACTCTGAGTCATGCAGCAGGCTGGGACCTCTGGGGCAGTTAGCGGTCAAAACCACCAAGATTAACGGTCGCCAACTCCCTGAGGCCAGAATAGTTAGTCTCTCTAAGGCACTCACACTCCAAATGCCAGGAGGCCCCACAGATGTCTGATCAAATCATTCAGCCCTTGTTCTTCTCCTACTCTGCAGCTGGCCTTTCAAACAGTAAGAGCACCCATTGTCCTGCAAACGTGACTACCAGGCCCTGGGGTGAAGAGTGTGACCACTGCACTCTCAAGGGGACATCCAGATGGACAGACTGGAACCCCAAAGAAGGAACCAGACTTCCACTCCCCTGCTTCACTCTGCAGGGCCACGTTTAAGGAATCCAGCCAAGCAATGTAAACAGAAAGAACATCAGTTCTGGAATCAGAAACTCTCACAGAGGACACTGCAAGCCGTGTGACCTTGGGCAAATGATGGAAAATCTGATTCTCAGCTTCTGCATGCTCAATGGGAACCATGTAATTCCCAGGATCTTGTGAGGATGTGGTGAGAAAGCATGTTTGAAGAGGATAGCACCGTATAAATGCTACATGGAAGGGGAGGTGGCTGAGGCAGGCAGCCGGGACGTGGAGGACTTGAACACTTGGCTCAGTCTGGACTTGCCCACCAAGAAGAGCTGCCACGTGACTTCCAGTGGAGGCTGCCCTGATTGGTGTGTGCATTTATTAAAAAAAAAAAAATCAACATTTGGGAGATGAGGAGAACTGTAGGAGGGTGGGAGGAGCAGTCAGTCAGTGAGATAGAAAAATAATTGAAAGAGTGTGATGCCCCAGCTGCCAAGGGAAGGAAGTATCTCAAGAAGGATGTTGGCTGGGAGAGGTGGCTCACGCCTGTAATCCGAGCACTCTGGGAGGCCGAGGCAGGCGGATTGCTCAAGGTCAGGAGTTCAAAACCAGCCTGAGCAAGAGCGAAACCCTGTCTCTACTATAAAAAAAATAGAAAGAAATTAATTGGCCAACTAATATATATAGAAAAACTTAGCCGGGCATGGTGGCGCATGCCTGTAGTCCCAGCTACTCGGGAGGCTGAGGCAGCAGGATCGCCTGAGCCCAGGAGTTTGAGGTTGCTGTGAGCTAGGCTGATGCCATGGCACTCACTCTAGCCTGGGCAACAAAAGTGAGACTCTGTCTCAAAAAAAAAAAATAAAATAAAATAAATAATAGAAGGATACGGGTGCCCACCAGGTCAAACACTGCGGTAGCCTGGGAAGGTGTGGCCATAGGACCAGCTGCTGGATCTGGCAACACGGAGGTCGCTGCTGACCTTGACCAGAGCTGTTTCACTGGAAGGTAGAGGGGCTCCCGTTTCACTAGGTTTAAGAGAAAACTGGAGGAGAGGACTGGGAGGCATGGAATAAGGATTATTTTTAGGAGTTTTGCTCTAAAGGGAGACAAAGAAATGGGGTAATAGCTGGAGGCAGGAAGCAGGTAAAGACAGTGTTTTTGAGGTTAGGAAATATTTTAGCATGTTTATAAGCTGGTTAGAATAAAAGAAAAACTCAGGATGCAGTAGAGACGGGACAGTTGTAGGGAGAATTGTCCTTGAGAAGGTTGGGGAGGGGAGGGTCTAGCAGAAACGGGGAAGGGCTGGCCTTAGCTCTGCTCCCTCACCCCACCCTGGCCAGGGAACACCTGTTCAGGTTAAACACTTACTTTCGGGACTTCCTGTGATGCTTCCCCTCCCAAGTAGAACCAACCCATCCTGCCTGTGGACCCCAAGCTTCCTAGAGCAGACTTTCCCTTTAGCTTGCTCACTTCTACTCTCTCTTCTTTCTCTCCTACCTCCTTCCTTTCACTCATGCAACAAATATTTAGAGGCACTGGAGTCACTCTGCTTGGATTTTTATCCTGGCCCTATCTCTTACTAGCTGTGTGATTTAGGGCTTTTCTTTTCTTTCTTTTTTCTTTTGTTTTTTTTTTTGTTTGTTTGTTTTGTTTTTTGAGACAGAGTCTTGCTCTACTGCCCAGGCTACAGTACAATGGTGTCATCATAGCTCACTGCAACCTCCAACTCCTGGGCTCAAAAATCCTCCTGCCTCAACCTCCAGAGTAACTGGGACTACAGTCATGTACCACCAGGCCCAGCTAATATTTTCTATTTTTAGTACAGATGGGGTCTTGCTCTTGCTTAGGCTGGCCTCGAACTCCTCACCTCAAGTGTTCCTCCTGCCTCAGCCTCCCAGAGTGCTAGGGTTACAGGCGTGAACCACCGCACCCAGCCTGATTTATTATTATTATTTCAAAATATTAAGGGGGTATAAATGTTTTTGTTACATGGATAGTTTTTATAATGCTTGAGTTAGGACTATAAATGTGCCCATCACCCAAACAGTGTTCATCATACCTGCTAGGTAGGTTTTTGCCCCTTCCCTATTCTCCCCTCTCC